TCTTTTTTATTTTTGCTGTCTGAATTTATTTGTTTATTTATTGTGAAAATACTGTACAGAGGGGTTACAATTACATGGGCAAGGTAATAAGTACATTTCTTATCAAGCATTGCTGCCTTCTCCTTTGTTTCCCCTTCCCATTCCTTCCCATCTCCCCCCCACCAAAGTTGTAAGTCATTATGTGGAAAAACGAACTTTACAACTAAAACTTTTCTATCCATTAATTCATTGCATGAGGTTTGAATTACCCTACAGAGAAAATGGAATGATCTGTCTATTTTTCAATGTTAAATTTTACTCCCAGCGTCAACATCCATGGCTTGAAGTACCTGATTTTGAAATCAGCTGGCATTCTGCCCACAGGGCCACAGCACCTGGCTGCAAGGTGGTATGGTGTATGACTCTAGGGGTGTCCACCACATACAGTGTGAGGAGGACTGCACCCCTTAAACTACTTGGGGTGTCCAGAGTAGAAAGGATGATGGACGGTGGAGAAACAACATCAGCTAACCAAGCACTGGACACAGATCCGTCTTTCACATCTATTCCACCTGGCAGTGTTAGTCTCTTCTGTGGAAGATAAGAAGCCATTGGAAGATACTAAACTGATAACTGATATCATCAGATTGAGATGTTAAAAGAATCATAGTATCTTTCTCCGAAAAAAAAATATTTGGTGGCACTGCGGAATTTAAACCTAGGGTGTTAGACTTCCTACATCCAAGCTTTACCACTAGAATTACACCTCCTGACCTTTTTGCTTTTAGTTATTTTTTTTCCAGACTTTTTTTTTTTAACCTAGACCAGCCTGGACTGTGATCCTCTTACTAATGTCTCCTGAGAAGCTGAATTACAGGCATGACCTGGGGCCCATGAGTTCACTGGCTGAACTAATTTTGATAGGGTATGTCTAATGTATGTCTACATTTCTAAAACTTGTTTAGAAAATTTCCTCAGAACCCAAATTAGCAATATGATTTAAAAATGGTTCCTTCTATAAAGCTGAATTCAAATGTTTAAACAAACAAACACAAGCAAAAGTAGTAAATCCTGAAATCCTTCGTCTTAATAAGCACTAGAGTGAATTCATGTAATTCTTCCCAGATGTTTCAATTTGCAAAATAACCCAGATTAATTGCTATCAGTTACAACAAGAAGAATCTGAAAAGGAAAATCTCAAATATCTTAACTGGGTGGAAAATGTTTCATGTTTCATAGAAGTGCCAGAGATGGGGTTCACTTGGTCAAGGCCTTTGGGACAAGGGAGTTGGTTGCTCATGAAACAATTTGCAGATTGTCAAGTTAACCTAACTTGAGGAACACAGTGTTCTGGAATGCAACTTGGCCTTTTGGAAAGTATTTAAGTCATGTCTGTGGCTCACAATCATACTGCAACTTTCAAAACAAAAGCAGCCTGATCCCAGGTGCTTAGCACAAAGGTAACAGCTGTGACCAATGGACAAATGTCACAGGAAGGACTTGGCTGTGACATTTAAACTATCTTTTATAAAAGAAGTGTGTGTGTGTGTGTGTGTGTGTGTGTCTGTCTGTCTGTCTGTCTGTCCTGGGGCGTGAACTTAGGGCCTGGGCACTGTCCTTGAGTTTTTTTTGTTTTTTGTTTTGTTTTGTTTTTGTTGGTTGTGGAGCTTGAACTCTGGGCCTGGGCGCTGTCCCTCAGCTCTTCAGCTCAAGGCGAGCGCTCTACCACTTGAGCTACAGCGCTACTTCCGCGTCCTTGAGTTTTTTTACTCAAGGCTAATGCTCTTCTACTTGAGCCTCAGCCCCATTTCTGGCTTTTTTTCTTCTTTTTTTGGTAGTTAATTGGAGATAAGATTTTTTTGGACTTTCCTTGTCCTGGATGGCTTTGAATTGTGATCCTCAGATCTCAGCCTCCTAGCTAGAATACTACAGGTGTAAGCCAACAGTGCCCAGCTACAAAAGACTTTTACATGTACTGTTTTCTTTCCAAAGATATCAGTAATTTTTTTCACAACCCCCACAAAATTGTTTTCATATATACTTTAGTCACATATACAAATAACTTAAAACAAGACAAAAAGGCCCACAATTGAATGCCAGGCAAACTAAATCCTTCTTACCATTATAAATCCCTACAATGGGTTGTCGGCTCAGTAGGAGAGTGCTTGCTTAACATATGTTGGGACCAGCAGTGAAATGCACACCTACATATGTACATACTCCACAGTGTTTCACAATTCAACTTGGAATAAATAACAACAAAAGATGCTGTTTACCTCAAGTCTATTCCTTTCAACGTCATGACTAATTTATAGGGCTGAGCTGTTAGGGACTACCCATAAGTTAGCTATTTTTACTGGTGTAAATCCTCACTTTACTATCATGGGTTCAAAGTTACTTATTCATGAATACCCCCACTGAAGGCCTAGAGGCACATATGAAAAAGTTTGGACTTGGGTCTGACTAAATCAAGGGCCTTTAGACTCTTGTCAAATTCTTTTCTGCTTGACAACTTTAAACATATAAAATATCACATTCAGATCACCTGAAAGTCTATATCTCTAAAAGTGAACTGATGACTTGAAGCAAAATACAACCGTACTTCTACACTTAAAAATGGATGTTAGAAAATGATTTTTTTTTTGTTATCAGTACTGGGACTTGAAATCAGGGCCTTGCACTCTTGCTTGGCTCTTGTGCTCACAGCTGGCACTCTACCACTTGGGCCATTCCTCCACTTAGGTATTTTTGCTAGTTAATTGGAGATAAGAATGTCTCAGATTGTCTGCCCAGTCTGGCTCCAAACTTCAATCCTCATATCTCAGACTCCTGAGTAGCTAGGATTATAGGTGTGAACCACTTGCTCTAAAAAGTGGCTCTAAAGGCCACTTTTTACTCACGGCTTACTTCATGTCTTGTACACTAAAAGATAATATTGTTCATGATCCTTGATCTGATGGACTTGGCAAACAGGTGTAGCCTGGTGAATCCACAGCAATGAATGACAAAGATCAATGCGTTCTCTAGGGATTTGTTCCCCCAGCTGACCTTCAAGAAATAGTTGAATATTTTTCCTCTATGTCTGTAACTAGATGTAAAGTTTGAAGAAACTTACACAAATAGTGATATTTGTAGTCAGTATCCAGCCAGAGAGGTCTTAGATTGCTAAAATGAAGGAACTGTGGATGACCTGCAAAATTAACTTCTCATTTTTGACATGTTTCCATATATTCAAGCCCTTCTGATGAGTTTAAATTTACATGGCTACCATTGGCCACTCTGCTGGGAGCAATACAGTACTTTATCTTTGAAGAATATAAATAAAAATAATAAATCTATATTGCTTTGCATATATATTTCCATTGGTGATAGTCATAAAGGGAAAACTGGACTAGCCTTACTTTTTTGAATATAAGGGTAATAAACACATATAAATGTGCCATTATATAATATATTGTAGTTTATAAATTGTGTTTTATTTATTAGGTTTTACTTCAGTCCAATAAACAGAAAATGGAGAGAACTCATGGTATAGATAATACATCTAAATTTGTTAAAGTGTTATCATCAAAAGACTTCTGTTAGGCTGTAGATGTATTTTTCTGTTTTTAGTAAACAAATTTACTTTTAAGAGATACATAAATATATAGTTGAAATTTTATGTTACGAATTTTGACATAACATTTTTTTTAACAGAAGTAGTATTTACTTCTTAGTAATATAAAGTACAAAAATTGTCTTTTATGGAGTAATTTATAAATTTAATTTATGGAGTAAATTATTCCTTAAAAGAGTAATTTTGACACAAGATGAAATCATTCCAAAGACCACATCCAAGGAATGTATCGAATACCCAAGAATAAGCCAAGGTCACTAGTCTGCAAACTCAGAGCACCAGGATTTCTCAAATAATATAACAGGAATATGATCAAGCTTGTCTTTAACTTCTTGGTAAACTCACTGAGTCTTTAGAGAAATGAGACCATTAAGCTGTGTCTCTTTTAAAAAAAACTAAATGTCTTAACTGTCTCTATTCAGAACATCTTTATCACCTTCATACTGACAAACTGGACCTTAAAACACCATGACTGTAGGTCTGAAAAAAAACGAACAAAAAATACCTCAAAGCATTCTGGGGCTAACTCATCTCACTTCTTTTCAGTAGTTCATTCACTGGATTCACCCCAATCATTAAGCACAAACTCTCCACCATCAGTCTACAACATAAGTACCCAGGACTCCAAAAAGATGACTTCAGACAGTCAGGTGAAAGCCAGCTCTCCCCTATGGGTTCATACAGATGTGTTTCGCTACTTCTCCTGTAAGGCCTTCTTCATCTCTTTCTTCTTGCTTCATATCAGCTTGCTAATGAGTTCTCCTTTCTGACCAGACATGAGCTCATCAAGGGCCTATCTGAATCACAATTCTTTCTCAAATTATGTAACCTAGAGATAGTATCTCCTTAAGTAACTCAGTGTGTACTAAATTTCTGTTATACCTCACAACAGTTTTAAAAGAGAATGAAAGCCCTAATAAACTATAATTTAGGAAGACTTTGCTTAAGAGAAAAAGCCCCAAGAATAGCATATTCTTCAAGAAGTTAAGGCCAAGTGACTGCCCTACAAAAGTGACACATTCAATTTCTTCTCCTTTATATAACCTTCTGGAGATCAAACACTGATACAATACTTATATTCACTTGTCACAGCCAGACTTTGATTTAAAACTCTTGAGGACATGACTGTCATGTGAGACCAGAAAGGTACCAACATGTACTTTTTATTTAAACACAGATATGCTTAGTATATGTATGTGTGTGTATGTGTGTGTATATATATGTACACACACATATTTATATAGTCCCTATGAAGAAATTTGAGTGAAAAATCTCCCAATACTCACCACAAACAAAAAAACAGAATCGGAAAGCAATGGCTAAATTTATAAAGAAGTACAATGAAAAGCACTCCAACTGCAAGTCCAATTTGACACGGAAATGACACACAGAGGCATTTTCTTACCTTCAAGGAATCAAAGCAGGCAATTACTCTCCCGTTTTCGACCTGGCAACTTTTTGGGGGGTGGGCAAATTTGCATTCTTCATCGGAGCGGGAGCACGTCCCCCTCTGAAACTGTCTGCAGACTTCCAATGTCAGCCACTTTGTATCTCTGACTGGAGCAACGTTCAAAGCCATGTTGAAAATGTACTATGGGCTCTGTTAGTTTCTGGTAAAGGATGAAATCAATCCAAGTTCTAGTGACTCCAAAACCACTACAGTGAAAGCTCCCACATGTAAGTCCAAAGTTAAGTGGTAAACTGCTTAATCAAGTCCAATGCACAGAACAGAGTTGATGAGGAGAGGATTTATTGGCAGGCAGTCACTCATGGATCAATATATCCCACTTGTAAACGGTGGGCCACAAGACAAGCCTGGTCAGGGTCATCTCCGGCTTCCAGCGTCCCAGTGTCTGGATGCTTTTGTAGACAAGACTCTATTTAGTAAAGTGACTTCAATACCATCGCATTCCTGGAGAGAATATTTCGTTTTGATGCTCAGAGTGATAGGTGATGCTCAAAAATACGTCGCTCAGATGTTCATATTTTGGCAGAATTTTCTTTCCTCCTTCCTTTGTAAATTCTGAAATTAAACAGTTATCAAAGTCAGACAAGTTCATGTATCTTCACGCATATGCTCAGGCTAACGTGTATTTCACGCATACACACAAACAATGAGACATATGATGTTACCCGGGCACTTTTAATCATGAAGCTGCAAGATTCAATAAAACATTAACTTATATCCAAACTCAAAAATATCAATATTGAACAATCTATTTAGTGCCTCTCTAGAATTTGCAGCTATGCAGGTTCGAGTTTTGAGTACAATGGGGAAAGTTATACATCAATTTTTCTTTAAAGAAGATGCAATTGAAACTGTACTGCAGAACAATCTAGGCAGTAGTCCAAAAGTGAGGAGTGACTCAAACAGATGAGTGTGGCAGACACAATAATTAGACCTTCTGAAACAATTCAATCTAATGTGCTTAATCGCCAAAACAGTGAATTAGAACTGTGGCTCCCAATTAATTTCACATTTAGGACATTGATTTTAGTGTTGGCAATGCTATAAACAATTATTTGGAATGTGTCTCTTTTATGTAATGAAGATACTGTGATTTTGGACAAACTGTGGGCCCCTTATTCCTGTTCATTCTCGTTTACAGTGATCTGATCTTGGGGGAAGACGTAGATCCTTCCCTGATCTTTAACTTTCTGGGTTTTTTTTTTTTTTTTTTTACTACTCTCTCTTTCTCCCCTGCTTCTCTCCCCCCTCCCCCCCCATTGTCCCCTCCCT